AGTGGGCGACACGCCTCGCCGTCTCCACCTTCGTGCGATCCGCCTCCTTCCTGCGATCCTCTTCAATTATCACTAATTGCGATTCGGCCTCAGCACGTTGCGCTCTCAATTCGCCACACTCTGACTGTAACCTGCGGATTAACTCCTCATCCGCCTGCCGTGCGAGCTGACATTGTTCCAACAACCGCGTCTGTCGCACGAGCTCCTCTGACAAAATCCGATTCTGGGCCTGCTCAGAAATGAGTGCTTCCTTGACCTTCACCTGCTCCTTGGTGAGCTCGTCCAGTTTCTCATCCTTCACCTTCTCGGAGTACTTGTAGAATTTCTGATTAAGTTTATACTGACCCCACAAGCATGCATGCTTCTCCTTCAATTCCCTCAACTCCTGGTCCACTCTAGCTAACAGCTTGCTGGTGTGGACTTTAGTGCGAGTCCTGCGCACTAACTCGATGTAAGATCCTGGCTGAAGTGGGTCGGCGTATTTATCGACCTTGCGATCCAAGTACCTCAGCAACGGAATCACCTGCTCAGAGAGCGCCGCCGCCGGCGCTCCAACAATTTTCTCCTCCTCCTCCTCGGTGTCCTCTGCTCCTGACATTTCTTCAGTGGAGCCTCCGTCGTCATCATCCGAGTGGAGAATTTCAGTCGCCATTGATTGCGTCGGCGACTGCCCCGAGTGGGGCTGCACGTCGTCGACGTGTGCTGCCTACGAAGGCACGGCTGCAGCCTCGCTGCTCTTCGCCAAAATGTCTAAGGCGGTAGGCGAATGTGCCCGTGCGGCATCCCCGCCGCTCGCTTGTTGGTCGTCTACCGTGTCCTCTCTGCCGCAGACGCCCGCCGCCGAAGGCGATCGAGCGGAGGGTGGCTGCGCGGGGTTTGATTGCGCATCGCGCATCGAAATTTCATCCCGCGGACAGTCACTCCGCTCCACCGTCTGTTGCTGCTCCCTTGATCGGTCCGTGGGGGCTGTGCTCGGCCTGTGCGCAGGCGCAAATGCCGGCGCCTTGTCCGCCGCAGGCGTAGCGCCGCGGACATCCATCGCCAAAGGCGACATGGCCGGGGGCCGCTCGCCCGATGTCCCTTGGGCTATAGGCCCTACCGCCGAAGGCGCATCTATCGGCGGACTACCCGCCGATGGTGCGGCCTCCGCACGCTCCCTGCTCGTATCTCCTCGGCTCGAAGGCCCTGGCGCCGAAGGCGCAAATTGCGGCGCGTGGTGCGCCGGAGGGTCTGGCCCCGAGGGCCGGTGTCTCGTAGGCGGTTCTTCCGCCGGCTCCTTCCCCTTCCTACGTTGGAACGGGGGTGATTCTTGCCTGTGCACAGGCGGCACGTGTGGAGGTGTCCTGTGCACAGGCGACCTGTGCGTAGGCGGACTTCGCGCCTCCCCAAACCCTACTTCGCCTGTGCACAGGCGAACGCCTTCGTCCGCGCATAGGACAAAACTTGATTCCCCCTTCCGCGTAGGCGGAATTCCCGCCGGTGGCGAACTCCTTCCGCCGAAGGCGACCGTCTCCGTATCTTTCAATAGTGATAACTCCCTAAGTCCTCATCCGTTCCAAGCGTTCTTGGACTCGTTGGAATCGGTGCGTCGAGCTCTTTCCAACGAGACCCTAACTTGGTCAAGGCGCCCAAGGGTCGACCTAATTATGGAGGATTTCCCTACCGCCGCGGACGCAACCTCCGAAGGCGGGTTTTGCGCCTTGCGTCGTAGGGGTCCTAACTGCAGAGCTCGCAGGGAGGGTGGTGCCTGTCCTTACTGCCGCACCCCAAATCCTAGATTCTACAAGATCCCTCGAGAATCCCCGCGATCTTCCGGATTCACTCCGTTTTGATGTACCGAAGGCTATTTACAATGCTGCCAGGGTACAGTTTTCCAAAAATGTTTTAATTTCCTCAAAATTGCCAAAAGTGGGGTACCACACCTTGTCCTCTTAAAGCTCATTCTACAAATCCGACCTGCGAAGTCGTCAAATAAGTCGTTGGGGAAGGTCGAAGGATTTGCATAAGAGCTACGCTACATTACTTTGCAATCGATCTTGATATCCTGTTGTCCGGTACCCACTCTTGCATGTGCGTGGTTTCTTGAATAGGGTTGTGTACATCTTTTCTTCCGCTCGCGTCACCTTGACACTCTCATTGTCGAAATTGAGATCGCCATCTTCTCTTGTGCACAGTACTAGAACTTTTTTCCAAATACCAAATTTGCCAAAGCACGGGATTTCCTTGAAGTACATCAGCATCCGGCGCGCTCCTGCCACTTCACTCTTGGACCATCGTCGCGCAGATGCAATTCCAACTCCACAGCAAGAAATCTAGTTTGGGGAGAATCAATTAGCCTCGATAATTCCTTAATCCGACTTTGGGCACCTTCAGAGCTGTCAATTGAATTTCTCCGGCTCATCCCATGGGTGCATCTGCAATTTTGCACTCCCGCACCTTGTTCCTTCCTCAATTCGCAACTACGCGCTAAAATGATGTGAAATGTGGGAGACGAATACATGCTACTCCTGATGTAGTCCGCCGCCGCAATGGCATTGCAAACTCGTGCCAATTGAAGGTGCCAAAATTTGAATTTCTTTCCCATGCGACTCCATCTTTTACTTCAATGGGGTCCGTCGCCTAAGCCCCTTTGTAGGTAACTCCTAATACCCTAACGTTGAAGACCGAAGACTATTCGCTGAAGACTGTATTAGGCCCTCGTTGAAATAGAGTCTCCACTTCATACCTTTGTAACTCGAGTTTCCCTTGTCCATTCCTCACGTTCTTGGGCTCGTTGGAACGAGCAAGTCGAGTTCTATCTACTAGGTTTCTTCTTATCTCCTAATCCTACTCAGCATCTATTTCAAAATTCCCTAATTACTACTCTTTTTAGTACTACTGCTCTAAAAGTTAAAAGTTGCTCATCTTTACTTCCCAACTACATTATTTCCAAAAAAACTAAAAAACTACACTACCACACTCGATTTTAGTCAAATCTCAGTGTGCTCGTGGATTTTGGTGATACTCGGTACCGAATGTGCAAGGGAAGTACGAATTCGAGGTTGAAGATCTTGGGGTCGAGCATGTAGCTTTGGTTGTTTTCGACAGGTTTGAGTATGCCGGGGAAGGTCCATCCGGACAATGGGCTGGAGGAGAAACGTGTGGACGTGCATATTCCCAGCAGTGCATCTCTAGTGCAGCAGCTGATGGCGATTTGCGGCCCGGCCATGATGCACTTGACAAATCTTCTGTATAAAGAGGAGATGCACCTTTTCCGTCAAGTCATATGTGGCGATTATGGACAAATTTCGAGAACACCATCTTGCATAATACACCGGTTATGGGTGTGCGCAAATGTCTTCATCGTGATGGCAGGTTCTTCCAACTCAGCATAGACTTCTCATCCTGTAATTCCCACCGCTTCACTCAAGAAGCAGCCGTCACATATTTGGCCTTGAGCAATAACGAGCTAAGCCAAGATTGACACGTGGTATTTTACGTAAGAGCTGCATTCACGTCCAAGGAAAAACAACTGCTGTAATTGCCTACTATGGTGCTACAACTACCTCGCACGATCAAGTCCAACAACTTTTCGTTTCAACTTCATAGATGTATAGGGATAAAGCTGGACTTACGGCTACGGGACCTTTTAACAATAACCCGTAGCTGCTGTCCATCCGTAGTTCACTTGTTTTATCACTTGTTTCTGTGATGCGAGGTGCTTTTATATACGAATAAGCAGGATTTCATGTCCTCTAGGACGTGCACAATGAAAGCAACTCTTCTGCTGAGTGAAGACGGGAGGAAGATCCGAAGCATGTGCCAACACATGCTCCGAATAATTTTCCATATACAGACGAGAAAGACGAGAGAATTTTCATTATTTCATTCCAAGTCAAATTTGATTTTGGAATAAAAGTGGGATCATGGACAGAGAAGCCGTCGCAGAGTGGAAAAACTTTAACCACCTCCTCTGTAGTATCCCAGTTGTTGGTAAATTGTGATGCACATATGGATGAGATGTAACGAACGGATCTTTCAGACCATAGAGATACTACTTTACTGATTTCAATGTGGGGAATGTGCCAAAAGATAGTACTCACGATCATCGAAGCTCAATCTGTGAGAGTTTTGTCGATGAATGATTCCTCCATGTGGTTTCCATCGCCCCTATTATTCACGGAGGACGAGAAAGGTGCCAGGTTTGAATTCTGGGATCAAACCGTGATGAGACGTCCTCATCGATAAGTACATCAGCTCTTTTGCTAAGTTGTGCATCTGAGGGCTGAATCGTCGTCTCCAAAAGCCCTGGAAAATCCCAAAAAAATTGTGCTTTGAACGAGCGTGAGTCTAATTCGATTGAGTCGACCACTTTGAATCGGTATCTTGACGAATATACGCAGTTTATGTGTAGCTCAAGATCAGCAACCATCACATGTCTCAACATTGCGGCTCTCCTCAGTAAAGTGGTTCTGAAATTCACAAAAGATCGAAATCTTCTAATTTCTAAAATTCACCCTGCAACTTTTGCTATCATGAGCATGTCAATTGCAAGCTGCATGCGCATTCTTGTTTCTGGCCCATAACAGTGCAATCACTTAGAAAGAACTCTACTGAATGCTAAAGTGCTGTTCTTTCCTTCCAGCCAAAAAAATCGAGAAGCTGCACACAACTTTGAAACTTACGACAGCGAAGCTCAGTTCTGAAAGTCGATGGTGCAATGATTACAGACGTGCACACTCCGAGACCTGCAAGCAGGGGACTACAGAGGAGCAATGAAGTTGTATGGCTGTGACGTTCTTGAAATAGGTTTAAGGTAATGGTGGGAGCAGGCTCCATAGAATTCATCTACTTTTCAAGATGAAATCTTTTTCACGTGGAGCTCCTAGAAGAGTTTTGTATGAGGGGAGCTGTACAAACACATATCAATCCATGAAGAATCAGTAAATCTTCGCCACACGATATTCAATAGCTAGCATTCAGTTCATAAACTGGAAAGATCCACAAACTTCTTGATTGAGTCGGTCCAAAATCGCTTCTTTGTTTATTGTTTGTTCTTCTCCAAAGTCTCAGTCTCAGGATAAACTTACATTTGACCATCCCTGGCCAAATCCGGAAGTTATTCTGGTCCGTCATCTTCCAGTTGTAGACAATGACGTTCATCCCGGTCCTACGTTTGGTGGTCTAAGTCCATAAAGAGGAAGCTCAGAAACCAGCGCAGGGCGAAATAGTCGTGCGTCTACAACTTCAGCTTATTCTGAGAGACCGAAAATAAAAGCACGAATAATTAATGAATGTAGCTATTCTAAGGGTCTGACAAGAATGTTGGGAGACAATACGTTCTCCTCAGTGTTGCTACTCCGACCTATCTAAAGCTTGTTGAAACTCTAGAATGGGTATTTAATTTACGAACTGACACGTCCTGCGAATTTGGCCCTCCGTGCCAGTGAGCACCCCCAGATTTCCCATCTTCACCATGCCAGCGGCGAATTCTGTGAAGAAGGCAGAGCCAGGTTTCGAGAACGTGGTGACGACTTTCTTGCCTGCAGGATTGGTAATGAGCGCCGAATCAGTGATGAAAATTCCCTTTCCCTTCAGCACATTTTTGTAGTAGGCACGGTCGAACGTGTTGGCTGTGGAGTCGATGAAGATTGTGTTCGTCCTGTTACCCTGAGGACAATGCTTCTTGAGGAAAACAGCGAAGTTCTTATTCATGGCAGGGTCCGTGTCGGTGGCATCATCCTTTCCAGTGAAGTTGTAGAGATGTGGGAGGATTCCGTTGCAGTGAGTCCGACCAATAGTGTGTGCACCTGCACAACATGAACATGAAGATGCATATCCGATTACATCTTAATCTGACAGTTGTTGTCAGTAAAACAGTGAAGCAACAGTGAGTTGAGACCAAGACGTAGTTCAAAATTGGAAAGAATATCTTCTAATGCAACGATTGCTAGCTACCGAGTAATTTAGGAGAAAGGATGGGAGGACCCCGTCCGATGGCACAGGGATGTACGGTAAGAAGTGTAAAAGTTTGTATGTTAAGCAAGGCTGATTGTTCGAAAATATTGACCTGAGAGTGTGATCATTTCTCTTGCATTGAAGCCCTTGGCAGCAAAGTTAGCAACCAGCCCGCTGAAGTTCAGCACAGGGAATGGTAGATTGCTATCAGCCATAAAGGATGTGGAGTTCACTCCGTCTCGACGACCCATAGCCACTGGCCAAGTGGGGCCTCCAACCTACAGGTTTCAACATGTGGCCAAAATGCTTTTAAAATTGTGAGGTAGACTGATTTTATGCTTGAACTTAAATGCAGAACATGCTTTCATGAATGCAGAACAAAGTGTTGCATATATTAGAAATAACCTTGGCTGTGGCATCACGAGCAGCCATGATCAGAATGTCGGCGCAAGACACAACTCCTGGGCAGGAATGTTCCAGGGCTGCCTTGATTTGATCAACCTCTGCAACGCCTCTGAGCCCGAAGTTGACATGAGCTTCCCTCTCCGCTTGGTTCGTTTGGGTCGAATTCAAAAGAACCGAGCCATCGCAGCCCTGGATTTCATCACAGAACTACTCAGTAACACATTCTTGAAGCCGCCCACGGTAGTAACACTTCCTTTGTACTTCAAAAGTCCGCGTAAACATTTTCCTACCGATAACATTCTAAGACTTCTCTCAGAACGTTCACTGAAATTGCAGTCAGTACATATCATTCTGACATAATAGTTTTGTTGATCAAGATTTCTTACCCCGACCCAGCAATCATGGAACTGCAACCTGTTGAAGGCACCAGCAAAGTTTCTGTCCTTCCTGAGGAACTTGGTGACGTAGGCGTCGACGATGGAAGCTGCTTGAGGGCAGGTTTTCTGGTAAAAGTCCTCAGACAGACCTGCCGCATAAGGAGTCTCCGCAGTGCATGCACACACTGTCGCCAAAAGTACAATGCTCACCAGAAGAGCATTGTGGCCGGTGGCGCTTGCTGATGCCATCTTTGCCTGCTGAAAGTAGGCTGCTTGCAGAACATGGTACGAGACAGTTAGAAGCGCAGACAATGCATTTGAATCTAACTTTCTCAACACTGTCAGTGGATTGATCAGAAGATTCAGGCGAAGTCATTGATGTAGACAAGATTCAGAAGATTGTAAATAATGTGTACAATACTCGTACTCAGCTCGAAAGTAGTGTTACATAAGGATGGGTACCTGCTGATGGCAATCGATGCAAGGAGATCCAGTTTGGCTCGGAAAGTTGAGCCGGTGATGATGACCTTCTACAAAGTGGATGCATTTATACTGATGTTGCAAGCAACAGCTGGTTGCACATATAGCCATGATTTTTAATCGTGCATGACATCCATTCATGTAAGAGTGATAACTGGCATATGATGTCAACTCGGAGACGGATCTCTCGCATGCTGAGGATGTGTATTTGGAAACGTTAGACTTAGTCTTCAACTTGAAATCAATATAAGTCTTCCACAGTCCACATGCTACAGACAATGTCGCGTCTGGAGAACGTCTTCACTATAGAGGTTTATCTCGAATCCCTCAAGAGACACAAGATCTTGTCCCTCAGATATTAATATGCAAAGTAAGCTCTCATGCAACATCCAGCCCAATAGTCAGATAGAAGAATGGGGTCCTCGTCTTCTGCCACTGGTTTACTTAGTTCATGGTCCTTCTGCTATAATGGATTTCTGTATCCCATCTCTGGTGAGGAGCCTGAATTGTTATTATCACTTGGAGTCATAAACTATTTCGGTCATAAGACGTTATAACAACTCTGGTATCAAGAAAATCGAGCTCATGAAAACTGAACTCTGGAAGCAAGTGATAAATCTCAAGAGAGAGATCAGAAGGCTTTAACCTGATGAATTCTCAATTATTGAGCCCAGACGATGGAATTTACGATGGATTTTTCCAGTTTCTGCAGAACCAAACTTAAATGAGTGGCATATTATCTCAACCTTTCTTTTCTTCTGTAATCGGAATGAAGTATTGATATTGGGATCTCCATGTTTCCAGAACAACAGCTATTTACCGGGAAGAATGAGTTGTCCTGAATACAATGTCGTTTAGTTTGAGGAAAAGGATACATATTCACTCTTGAAAGCACTCGTATGAATCATTGAGAACGCATCATTTTGAAGCATTCTGCAATGATCTGATGCTGCATTACGTGGGCAGTATTTACTATGGATTGACCATAATTCTCCTTTTCAAAGTGAAGCCATGAGTTGCAAATGAGGAATATAGAACCGGATTAATATATGACACATATTAATACGTATTATACGGACATAACTGTGCATGCTTTCGAAATCGAAATAGGTGATCACAGGGCTCGTCATGATTTGCTTGCCTGCAAGTAAGGCACGAGCTGCATAAAGTAGAATTATCCACAATCAGAATCACTTCAACCTGGAACACGCGTGCAGATATGCCCTCACCATACTGACTAGCCACATCCCGCCATTCTCCAACATTTCTGATACCTTCTGAGGATCAGGGATATGAAGTTGTATATTGTATGAAGAGATAATCTGACTTGCTCACAGTCTGCTTTGCAATCTGGCTAGATTTCATCAGAACAATGAATTATTATGAAGGTACGAGATAGTCCCTGTGGATTCCTGATTACAGTGATCTTACGGAAAAATCATTCAAAACTACATGTTATCCAACATGGCTCCGGGCTCTAGATTTCTGTAAAGTTTTGTATGTCTCAAATTTTTAGACGCGCAAGGTCGGAGCAACAAAATTGAACCCAGTGGATGATCTTAATCCGCGAAAATGATCCGCACTTTCATTTCATATATCAGAAAATTCTTATAGGCTCAAAGAATTGGGTAGTGGGCAGTCCGGAAGCAATGGTTTTGGACTTTGTTCGAAAATATAACTTTGTTAGAAAAATAAATGTGTAGTTGCAGGTTACGGATAGCTTTCATGTTTGTCTTATACATATCCTAAATGGCTGTCAAGTTCATCGAAGTTATACCTTGAAGGACAGATGAGTCGTTTTATGTTTTCATCATATCTTCTTGTCCTCGTCATTGTACTAAGGCCAATACAGCCTGTTCGGAATTTGGGAGAAAATGTACAGCTATGCGTACTGATATGCATTGCAAACAAGCTTTCAAGTGTTTTATATAGTTGTAATAACCCACCAAAGGCTAAAACTGCAGTATGGTGGTAAAAAGATCGAACCCACAGGGACAGAGGCAACACACAAGAGTAAAAGTGTCACATTTAACAGACTTTTGGTAGAGTTTGAATTCTAGGCGACTGTCACTCCCAGAAATACTGTAGTGCTCGACTCGGAGGCTCGACTCGGAGGAGGAACTCAACTCGGAGGATGCTCGGAGGATGCACGGTACAGCTTGGTCACTCAACACACACACACACACACCTGAAACTGGCAAAAAGCACAACTCGGAGGTCGGTCAGGACCTCCGCTTCGGATTTCAGGAGGAAAGTGTCTCGCAAGTTCACTCAGAGGTTCTGCAGGAAGTGCCTCCCACTCCGGCTTTTACTGCCCTTCCGCCAGGAACTAGCGGGGGTACCCGGACTGGACTTCTCACTTCGGAACGAAGCCTCTACGTACGCCGTGGACGTCACCCTCGACTATCACACAAAACGCAGGGAGTGCAGACCCGACTGAGAACTTACTGAAAACACGATCCAGTAACACACACACAACCTGAATTACAAACCAAGGTTTACACGAAGTAATGAAACTTCACATTGGCATTCAGGGGAAACTTCCCGTAGGAGTACAATCAGGATATGTCACTCGAAGGAGTAAGGGGGAACTGTTCAAGTCTCTAACTCGCAGCCGGCTCTGAGCATCAGAAATCACCCGCAGGTGCAGATCCGCACTACTCAAGTCTCTAACCGGGTGCGAGCTCTGAACATTCAGCCGAAGGCCTTCAACTACAACATACGGTAACTTCGCTATGCTGCAGCTTCTCTACGTGGTGCCAGGACCAAAATGCACAAACACGCCAAGAAAGTGAGTTCCTGATCTGCACTTCCGAAACTGGAAGAGTCCCAAGGCAAAACGCCTTGATCTACTTTATACTCTCAAAAGATCCTAACTAGCACTACGCTATCCTATCTACCACTCGCAGCATCTGCGCGAAACCAAACTACTCTACTGCACTCAACAGATCCGGTGCTGCGCCTCCTGCGCGCCGGACTGCTCCGCGTACTATCTCTACCTTGCCAGTCTTCCGACCGGCTGCGTAACCCCAGGCGTCGGAGTGCTGCAGTGACTTCCGACTGCAAGTGCGCCATAGTGTCGCGCGCACCCGACAAGAAAGTTTCTAATTTTCTTGCCACTCGCCGCCGACTCCGACTGTCACCTTCCGTCAATGCCGCCGCCCGAAGCTCGAACTCCCGGAGTGTAACCCTCTCTTGAGCTGCCACCTCCCAATGGGTGTATCCGTTTAGACAACGAGTCACCCGTGCCGCCAACTCTCCTCGTGCCCTGCAGCTGCTCTCCACCTCTGCCAGCTGCATTTCTAAATCCGCACGTTGTGTCCTCAAATCCGAGCACTCGGTTTGCAAGTTGCACAACAACTCCTCATCCTCCTTCCGGGCTCTTTGACTTTCCTCTAAGGCGCGCGTCTGGCGCGCAAGCTCGGCTGCTAGGACTTCGTTCTGTCTCCGCTCCTCCTGCAGTTCCGACTCGATCTTTGCCCGTATTAGTTCGGCCTCCGCCTGACTCTTCGTCGCCGCATCCTCCTTCTGCTGCTGCAAGGCTTGGTACAGCTTCTGGGTGACCGCCAGGTGTTGTCGGAGGGCGGTGTTCCTATCCACATATACTCCGCATCTAGAGGCCCACCTTGCCACCTTGCTCCTCGTCCTTCGCCTGATTGTCTCCACATAAGACTGCGGTTTTAAGGCACTTGCGTATTTGGATGTCTTGCGATCCAGATATCGCAGGAGTGGAACTATCTGTTCGCACAGCACCCCTGTTGGCGTTTTCTGCACCGAATCCTCTTCTTGCTCTTCCGAGCTCGTCTCATCCTCAGTCTCGAGGATCTCAGTCGCCACTGAATCCCTTGGCGACTCCCTGGAACTGTGGCGCGCAGCAGCTTCTGCTGCGACTGCTGCTCCACTGCCTGCTAAAATATCCAGGGCAGTGGGAGATCCCACTGCTTGAGCCCCTGTTCCGGCTCGATCTTCGGTTTGTGAAGGGGTCGACGCCGCAGTGACTTTTGTCACTCTTGCACCGCCCGCTTCTGCTGCCTGTCCTTCCGGCGCAATCTGCGCGGAAGGTGTCCTTGCTGAAGGTGCGTCCGCCGAAGGCGTCCGCACACTGGTCGTTGGCCCCATCCGTCTCGCAGTCGGCGAATCCGGCTGACTCTCTGTTGTCCGACTCGCAGTCGGCCGACCAGCAGTTGTCCGACTAGGAGTCGGATACACCCTGCGCGTCTTGACTCCACTTGGCCTGCTTGTTGGGGGCGTTCTTCCAGAAGTGCCTTCCGCCGAAGACGACCCTCTGAGGATTGTTGGCTCGTCAGCCAAACTCTCTTCCGTTTCCGGCCTGCTGTCCGGTTCAACGCGCCGTTCAGTTGGCCTTCCTTCCGTCTGTCGACCTTCAGTCATCCGACTCGCAGTCGGCCGGCTGTCAGTCCGTCCATCTCCTCCCGAAGGCCGTGGTGCCTTCTGTGCAGAGGTTTCTGCCGTCTTCCCTAGAACCTGAGCGATTATCTCTTCCTGTGTGAGATTCCGCCGGGTCGGAGTTCGCCTGGTCTCCTCAGTAACAGTTGGCATCCTGCGTGCCCTCTGTTTTGGTCGACTATGAGGCTCTTGGGTGGGCCGACCACGAGTCGGCGCAGCTGGTACTTCCGGCTGCCTGTCCTCAGGTCTCTCATCCCACTTCCGCTTGCGCGGAATGCGCTCACTTCGACGTTCTTCTGCTGCTCTGGCTGGAGCCGGAGCCGGAGGCGTACTGGCAGGTTCCTCGTCCGGATCCGTGTCTACTTCGGCCTCCCTCGAATATCTACCTGGATAAGACCGGCTCAGCTGCGGAAACCGAGTTTTCTCAGCATTCGTCAAACATCCCATCGCCCGGTAAAACACGATTAAGTAAGGCGATAGATGATTGAGCGTTCCTCCCCTCTCTTCTTGCGCATGTTGGCGCGTCACCTTCCACAGGAGCCGTGCCCAATGCACCGGAGCTCCTGACAACACTAGCTCCACGAACTCTACCTGCCAACCATGCATGTAAGCGGTCTTGGTCGGCTGCAATATCTGCAGCAATGCTGTCGCGACATT